ATTCTATTTTTCATTTAGTATAATTGTGCAGCCGCATGCAAATTTGTGTGTTTGTTCACGTATGCGTGTACAGCCTTTTTGGGGTAAATTTTTTCCCTTGTTTCTTCCTACAGCTTTCAGTCTCACTAAGTATAGTGTGAAGTTCTCGCATACTCCAGGAATAACTTAATTACGGTAAATATTTTGTCAACTCAACTAGAATAAGTTTAGACACGATATTTAAACTGATTTCTTTTATATTTTTAGTCCCATCCATAATACAAGTGAATAATATCAATCTCATTCCATCTCATGATAACAGTTGATCAAAGATTCAGATCACAGTGTTTCACTTGTAACTACAAACTATTTGCTGATTTAAAAAAGGATTGTAAGCAGATTGACAACTAAAAAATTCAACCAATAATACAGACATTAATATAATATCTAGTTTTCCACTGAAAGTGTAGCAGCCTTCTTGTGATATCTCCCAAGTGGATGCTAAAACAAGGACCTTATGTTAGTAAAAATTTGAACTCACCATGTTAAATGGACCAGAAAATAGAATCATAAAAATAGGAACTGGAATACAACTGGTGTTTTTGTAATGCATTTACAGACAGTTTCTCTCAGTCCCAGAGAGAAATATGTTTCATTTATTTTCACATATGCCACAACATCTTGAAAACTACGTAAACTCAATATGTTTTAAGGTTTTTGACAACTTTCTTTTGCTTTTGATGCAGATCGGAAAAAGTGCTCTTACTGGTAGTACTTGTTATTTCAAAATGGTTAGTCAGGAGATGTGTTACAAACTGATATGCTAAAATGAGGTATAACTTATTGACTGTCACGTTAATTTAGAAAGCGGAGCTATGAATGAGCGCCAACTGGAGGTGATATGCAGCAAAATAAAACATCACTCTTCACTAACTTCCATTAATCTTACAAATAATCATTGAGTTACACTGATCGAATTTGTCACGAACCCCAATGAATGCTCGATAGTCCTTGAATCATTGAAAATGATCCATACCAAGTGAAAATATATCAGTGCTTCCAAAAAGAGAGGTAAACATTTACGTTTCTAGCCTTAGACTTCTACGTTCAGGTGTTTGGAGTTATGGCTAAATCCTCACATACCGATTCTCTACGTATTGTTCTTTCACATTATATACTTTAGATGTATAGAGAGAGATACATATTCAAAATCTCATAACAAGTATGTGATCAGATATTAAAACGTTTCAATCTCACAATTATATGATGCGGATAGATAATAAATGGTTTATTTTCTGCTAGTCAAGATGAATTATTTCAAGTATGAACAACGACTTGTCATTTCTTTCTAAACTCAGTGTCACAGATTAGAGAATAATAAAAATAAACGGAAGTGAATATCACACGTGAACTAATGTCAATATGAGTAAAACATGGTATATGCCTTAAACATAGTATTTATTCTCCATATCTACTCCCTCTTAAATAATGAGATGGGATAACAGGCGGGATAGATAAAAACAGAATTTCGGTTAAATATGCCTCAAAAGACAATATTTTAAACAGGAAATTACTACTCAAGTATGATATCCAATATAGTCAATCAAATACTGCAACTAAGTTACTACATTAACTGTTTTTTATACAGATCTTTATTATATATTATGGAGTGAATCTTCTGCAGCTTCCCAAACTATGGCATGGAATACAATTCGGAGGCTAAAACTCAGGTAAAATATCGAGACGCTAACAAATGACGACTGAGTGGTTTAGCTTCTTGCAAAACCTCAGCAAATCATTTCAAAGGAGATTAAAATATAAAGCACCAATAATTTTGACATACGGTACCAATTTTCAGGCATCCTTTACACTTTCATTATTTAGCCGTGACTTATCTGTTTATATTCCTATGCTAAACTGAAATGACATAGACACTTTTCTCTTTCTGTCCACACACTTTCTCTGATGATATTAGAACCGCAGCTGGACTCCTGTTTAACATAAGACATTAAAAATTAAGTACTTCACAATATCACTGGCATGTATTTTCGTCAGAAACCTAACAGAATTTGTGAAAGTTGTCTTTACTGCCTTATTTAGATTTTCAATCTTCCTCTAAGTAGTATTGTTTTGCTACCTCATTACTCAGAGTTGTGGTTAGAAAGTAGTCCCCACAGCGATCTTATCTACACAGTGCACTGTTTGAAATCAATGGTTGATATCATTCGACAATTCGTTTTGTAATATGAGCCAGTAATACTGTTCCAGTCATTCAGTAAGTTACATTTACAAAATGTCTGTCAAAATTGCTCTATTACTTTTAGTGTTAGTCAGTAGCTTTGAGTAATGGACGCATGAATGCGACGTTTTACGGTATGTCACTGATATAACAGGCAGAAAGGTAGTTTGAGACTCAGTCGTCATCAGCCGCTTGGTGACTTTTAAATCTATCTTTGATAGCTTGTTTATTATTTTACATAAAAATAAATCACCTCATCACTTAACGAATGATCCATATATTGTCTCTTGAAAATATAGTCAGACAATAGTAGGTAATACCTCAGTCACCAGATTTCCATGCTTTGGAATAATTGCAAAGCTGAGATTTTGAAGACCGATTGTCATCAGTTAGCAATCCCAGTGTACTCGTTGAACTAAGTCGTCTCCCTTTTAAATTAATATTTGATAAGTATTGTGTATTTTTTTTCAAACCAATTTAGTTCAGCAGTAATTACAGATTAATGGGACCGGTTCAGACAGCTACTTTAGTAGTAATATCTCAATACTGAACGGACGTATAGTCATAAGATAGGCTTTTGCTTTGGTTCATATTTCCACTTTTTTTAATTTAGCAAAATGAACTTATGAAAATTAAACTTGACTTCTCGATCGACAGTTTAATATTAAAAAAAAGATTTGAAGTGTCAACTTTGACAAATAAACTACTTAAATCTTCTAATGTAAAAATTAATCAACATGAAAGAAAATTAACCAGTTGGGCAATCATCACCTCTAAAATTAGTGCGTATAAATGAACACCCTGAAATTTTGGCGACTACTTGTTGTGCAAAAAGATTTTTTAACGAATTCACTTTAGCTGAAATACTTGACCAACTGAAGATTCACAGTTAAGATTCTAGACAAAATCATTAGCACTAACTTGAAAAAGAATTGAGGTACAAGAATTTCTTCATAGCCGGTTTAATCATTCCTGAAGTCAACTCAAAAGATGATTGGTTACGTTTTCATTTCACAAGCATTGTTTGCAGCCTTATTTCCATTGACTTACATTGTTGCGTAGTCCGATTTTGTATTTCTTTTAATGTATCCCAGAAGTTGACAGACTGGTAACCTTTATATGTGTATGTTGATTGTTGAATCACGTAGATGCAAGGCTCTTTCTTTGACATTTTTTAGGTTTCTTCTACCTAGTGAAATTTTTTCAGTCATTTATCAATTATCAACCCAACTATATATATATATATATATATATATATATATATATATATATATATATATATATAAAACCAACATATCTTTCAGTAGAAAAGTGGTTGAGTAAAAGCTTGAACACCTTTTGAAACCAATGCACAATAATGAGTTTTCCCTAAACTTGACAATAAAAAGATGACACTTCAGAAATAGGAATTAAAGGTAATTTCAGAGGGTGTATAGAGACTTGAAATGAGCTGGATCGGTAACAATAAGCCTAATACTCACTGTCGCAGTCAGTCAGAATAATCAGAAATTTTTTACCTTTTAAAGTGAGATATCCAGTTAAAAACAAAGCAGTCACTAAAGTTATATTTGCAGACCATGGTAACATAAATGTAGAGGTAGTCTATCTTAATGCAAACCACCACTGCATGCTACCTAGTTGTGTGATTTTATATCTCACTTCTTTTCAAGTTTGGGATTATAAATATTTTTATCATAAAGCTAGTGTATCACTCAAGAAAATCCAATGCCAACTAAATAGGTATCGCAACACTGCGTCTTTCATTTTAAGCTCTTAAATTTCTCAAATATTTCGGTGGTACTTAGAATTTACGTTACTTTCAGGCTGATACACATTTCAGATTAAAAATACTACGTTATGTTTCCGAACACAGTGTATCCTTAGTGAAGTCTTAAAAACAATCCATTTTAGTAAACTAAACGTCGAATTAGTAGTTGTTAACGAATTTTGAGTTACTGAATTGATAATACAGAGTTCTACTTTGAGTCAAAATTTAGAAATTCCAGTCAAATAATCACTGTCCTGAAACTGGAAGTTGGGACAGGATTAAATTCTGGCCCGTAACAGATACTGCTATGGATCAGTGGTGAATACTTGTAACGTTATCCTGACAATCATGTTATGATGAAATATATCTCTTTGCTAAAACATAATATACATCTTTAAAATTTTTTAAACCATTCACCCTCAGAAGTAACAAGGATCTTATTTAATAGCACAACATTTCAAAACTTTTAAATTTCACTGCAACTTTATTGTCACCAAACCTTATCGTAAAATCAAGAGAATGCGTAGAAGAGACCACATTCTTCTATAAAGTAGGGAATCTTACATCCTGAATTGAAAAAAATGGATTACAGTAGAGACCTGAAAGTTTCTACTGCACTCACAAATTGGTGTATAGTAGACACTTTGTAATCCTGTCAAAACTAGGCCAGGAAAAGGTTTGATATATTTCAGCATCCGGCTTAAAGGAGTGAGTCGATTTAGGGAAACTGTCCTTAGGGCCATAAAGTATCCTAACTCTACACTTATCGCAATACTCCCTTGTATCATGAAATAAACGAATAGTGTCTTTCAAACAAAAAAACCAGTTTTTCTATGTATTTTTGTTTCTTGGAACTCTTGATAAAGAGACCTTGTTATCTTTCCCTGAAAAATGTAGTTTTATGAGAGGCACCAACAACCAGCTAATCGCCAGAAATATATTAATTAACTTCATATCTACAGTGCATTATGTTTCTAAAACACTTTTTCTCCTTTTTCTCTTGACATCACGAAGGCAACGGTTACATTGAAGGCTCAGAATTGGACAACTTTCTGCGTGAATTCATTTATAGTGTGTTCTCTGAAGAGCTGGGAAACGAAGTGAGTTCCTGGATGTCGTTCGGACTATTCCGTCATTTAATTTTCATAAAAGCTTTCTCATGTTGTTTGCTTTAAAGTTTAGAAATTATTTTCAGAAATTTTCTTTGATGAACAGCCGTCATCATTATATATGGGGATAAGTTAATACCATTCAAGGATGATCCTGTTGAGAAACAGTATTTGTCGTATGAACCTTTGTTTTAATAGGGATTCCTCGAGTGCCTTCTGTTACCATTAACGAAACATTTTGACTTCTGTGAATGACTTTCGTGAAATTTTGTGTAGTTTGTGAACTGGCTATTCTTTTCCAACCTTAGTCCATTCTTTCACTGCTTACATTTTTATTATTATGCATTTCTGTTTTAGTCATTCGGCTGCTGATCACTGGGCCATAAGAGTTTTTCGTTCTCAAATCTTTTTCCCATTCGACAAATTCATTTTCTAAGTAGACCACTTTACATTCTTTGTTTGAAATTTTATTGGGTTTTTCGTAGCAGAGTGAGTGATTCATCGAACGTAGTCAATGAATTACTGTTTTAGGTTTTGTTATTCTATAATCAGGTGAAATTATCCACAGACAATGTACTCCATTGCGTTAGAGGCAACATTCCATAAATTAAAGCTTCATCACACATTTAGTGGATTAATCATATTACATATTCCCTCAAAATATATAAAAATGAGACATATACCGTTTCGTCATGTTTTGAGTCCTAGTGAAGAAAACTGCTGCTACTTGACAGCCATATGTAGATCCGCCACCAAACAGTTTAGACAATAACTATTTTTTACCAACAAGCAACTGATCAAAATCGAAGACTTTAGTCTCTGTGGTACATAAATATATAAGTAACCGAATGAATTATACTGTTGAAAGGCATATAAGAACACTATTATCGTCTCCCATCCTATTTTAACAGATTGGAGGAAAATGACATAGGCATTTTCCGGTGTTAAAAATAGAAACACCGTCTAGTTTTCGTAAATACACGTAAACCATATATGTATTTTCTGTTCAAATAGCTATCATTTTAGTCAAAGCAACAGCAAAATAATATGGACTGCATTTTCTTACTATTCACAGTAATTGCAAAAGGTTAAGTGATTGCAGCGACACTAAAACTAAAAACTTTATACTGCGGTTCATTTCGTGCATCTTCCTGTTTAGACTTCAGTTCTCAAAATGGTTATCAGTTCCAGTTCACGTTGTTATGTCTTGTTGACAACGTCAAATAATGAACACTAGGGATTGCTGCATTGAAAATAAATACATAGCAGTAGATGCATATGAACAGATTCAAAAAAGTGTCGACAGTGAAATTTCTATTCCTTAGTTTAAACCACAAAGTGATTTCTGTTTCTGAAGAATGGATGATATCCCTTCAAGAGGATCAAGAATACAACAAATGTCATTTAGTCCACTGATTTTTGTTCGTTTTTCATGTATCCGTTTAGTGTTGTCAACTTCATATACTAAGGGAGTTGCTTAATATTCATCTCACATGTATTTATTATATCTCTGTTAATACGAGTCATTGGTGTTGCTGGATTTCTGACTAATTGCAAAATCTCTTGGTTGACATGCAATACAACCACCATTCAGATGATATTTCAAAAAAGTTGATTTTCACGGTTTTGTAGCACAAATGATCTATCTATTTCCATCAGCTAGATCTGAAGAATGAAAATGAATGCCATCGAACGATTATTTTGTTGTTACAACCTATATCGAGCATCTATACATTACATAGGCCGAATAACAAAGAAACAAACAACTTTTATGGGCTTCAAGATCAGAATTAGACCTGACAGAAGTGAATAAGTTGAGCAGTGAGTAAATGGATTGCAAAGAAAATATATTTCTACGATCCCAACAAGACAGAAAAACAATTTCCTGCCGTTTTGCAGCCTCATGGAAACCGCTTCTTCAGAGAATAAAGCTCCCACAATTTATCGCCTGTTTATGTCTCCAGTTACTATTTAAACATGCAATAACTTGTACAGGTTTTTTTCTCTGAATAAGAGGCTTCCACAAAGTCATCAAGAAGTCAGGAAATTATTTTTCTGCTTTACTGAGGTTTTACGAATAAATTTCCCTTACAAACTGACAACTGTTCGTAAATTCCTCAGCGCTTCAAGGAAACGATGAGTTTTATTTTACAGTGAACACCCATAACTGCAATTAACTGTTCATCGTTATGCAAAGCTGACTTTTCAAAAATAGGTACTGTACACGTTACCCAAATTATCTTTTTCCTTTCGAAACAAACACAAGTATGAAATTTCTAAGCACTCTTTTAATAAGGTAGACAGTAAGTGTAGCATATGAATCCCCCAAAAATTCTTACCAACTAGTTCAGGTGATCCAAAGACTGCATGCATATTCCTAAGGAATATGCATAAAAACAGAAACTAACCAGAAAGGATATGTGACTGAATCTGAAACGGAAAGCTTATTTCGTAATGATATTATAACCAAGACCCAACCATCTCAAAACAGTAGCTGTATTTTATCATGGAATTTATAGTAAAAGTTACTTACCACTGAAGAATTATAGCGTTACTTCCTTTATTCAGTAGTGCTAGCTAGGTATGCCACATTAAAAATTTTCTGTGAATATGTTTTAACGTCTATTCCCAAGTTCTGTTCATCTGATACTGCAGACAAAAGTGTGGATTTACACAACTGTTCACAGGGATAAACTAGATTCATAGGATGCTTGAATGTTTGCCATCTATTAAACACTACGTAACAAATTCGTTTGTATTACTTCCGAAACAGTATTGTTTTATCTGAACCTGAGCACTGATATTATGATGCAGAAAATTTGACTTTGATGTAATCAGGTGTCACTATTCTGAAGACCTAGATTTTAATCCTTTAGTAAACGTTTATCTGATAAGAATGAGGAAAACTTTGACTATTTTGAAAAAACACTACCGACAACGATACTGTATGCATATACACATATAAAAACTATTTCATTTTAAAAGGAAGAGTTGCATAATGATGATAAGCGATGATGGTGCATGGACCTAAGCATTTTCCAAGAATTTATTACATTTAATATACGATGCTTCACATTCTTCACGTCGGGTATTCTGATCACAAAGGAAATCTATGAACAGATAACCATTTAGATGGTTGTTTTTAGTAGATATAACATTGCATCAAAACCACCATTCTCTTCCATAAATCATCTTCAACGAGATACCAAGTCCGTTTATCTAAAAAAGAATAGACATAATCGGCTAGATTACCGAAGCATATCTCTTGCATAGACTTTCCAAGATTTAACAGAAGTAAATCAATAAATAACCCCACTTCTATCCTCAAAAATCTAGTAAAGCAAATGGCAGAATTAAAAAGTAGTCTCACTGCTTTCATTGCTCTCGAGGGGTTGGTGGCTTGTATATGCAGTTAGGGATGCGATAAAGTCACCATTCTGCTTCTAATTGTATATCAACTAGTTACACACTGTTTTTAAAGCTACATTAGGTACACAACTTGACTATCATTTTTTGCACACTTTCTGCTGAAAAACATTTGAGACCTATGAAGGTAGTCTTCTCTTGAAAAATTTGAAACAGTAAGTCCTTTTTATAAATTTAGATAGTGTAATTGGAAGGCAACTTTTGTCTAAACATTGTGAACATGAGCAAATGCATCAAACTGTTCATATAAACTTCGACTTCTAATTACACTATCTAAATTTTAGACCTAGCCTGTTACTTGATTCGAAAATTGAAATGAACTATGGTTGTAAGCTTTATTTAGTGAAAAAAGGTTCCTTTGAAAATAACTTTTAATTTTGCCATACAAAATACATCAAATTTAGTTAAATAAACAATGATACGCTTTGTTAAGTTTGGAAGTTTGTTTTCGAAAATTTGATGCTGATACCAAAGACTTTAATACAGATAACCACTTTGAACATTGACAACATTGAAACATATTGATTTTGCTTACTTATGAATTTCGTGAAATCTAAAATCTCGTGGTACTTTTAAATGAAGCAGAAATCAAGTTTTTCTTCTATGTAGCAACCTAATGTTTTACGGTTCTACTAATTGCAATAAATTTTAAGTTTTATTCAGGAAGGAAGTCAAATATTTTGTTCAAGAAGTTAATCGAATAATATCAGTAATTTTTTTGATACATTCTTGTATTTTTTTTCTGTAACCACATTTTTTCTAGACAATACCTAGTGAAGATTTAGAAGTTATGAAAAAAGAATTCATGGAAGCATTCGATGAAAATTCTGATAATCGAATTGAGCTAACTGAAGTAGGTCAAAGTAACAGTTTCATAATTTATTTCTTGCCAATTAGTTATATCTTTCTTTTTAAATCAAAAACTAAGATTTCCATCTCTGGGGATTTTGACTATATTTCACAGTACAGTACTTGGGTTTTGTTGACCACACTATATTATTCATATCAATGAGTTTAACTACTTTACTGGTAAGTCAGAGTTCTGGCTCAGTTTGTAAATCATTTATATAAGACTTCCTTATCCGCTAACAGTGGAAATGACACAAAATCTGATATGTATCAGAATGCAACAGTTTTCGACAAACATTCTTGTGTAAGCATGAAAATAATCAATCAATTTTTACTTTTAAAAAAGTCTCACTACGCTTAATCTTCAAACATTATAATTTTTACATAGTTTTCTAACCGCAGTTTTGTATAATTAACCGATTTCATGTAATGGAAAAGTACGCAATATTATTTTACAAGAGGATTCAGACAGTCAGTTGATGAATGAATCAGCGTATTTGGAAAAAAGCTGACTAGAATTAGAACAAAATTCCTATCTGAGGCATCAAAAAAGTTAATGATAATTCATGAATATTAAGTAAATCCCTAACTAGAAAAACTGAAATTAACACTGGAAGTAATGCATATGATAAAAGTATGCCAAATGGAAAATAGAAACACTTCACTGAACACAAGTCAAATAATCATGAGTCAGTCTGAGACTCATTTATATGAAATCTAGGTTCCTGTGGGACTACGGAACACACAATCTTGACTTTGGTATTTCCACGCCAGTAGATTCAGCAATTTTTAGAAGATGAACTTGTAACACGTTATAGCTATTTGGATTTCTTGTAAACCACTGCTGAGAATTTTTCTGGTGAATGTCTGTGCTGTATCAAGTGGGTGTGACTGTAAGGGTCTAATAACGGTGTTTTGCTGTCCTTTTGTTAGCCCAACGGAGAAACTCCTTGGCATGTTGCAGCGAACACTTTATAGTCTGTTCAACATAAATTACTCCGTAGGTGCAGTTGGATGTCTAAAGGCACTTTGATGCGGACATATGAGGAATCCAGTCCTTCAGTCATAATAGGCAATGCATCCAGTTTTAAAAGTCAACTTCAAAGTTGCTGCTGGCACTGCCTTCCTCAACAAGTTTTGCAGTATGTCACCGAGGGTTCTCATGACATTACCTCCTTGAAGCTAAAATTCTAGGGTCAGTTTCGTTTTCTCGTACTTGGAACTAATCGGGTATTGATCCCTAACTCGCAGTTCAAACTATTCATTTGCCTTACTTATACTTTCATAGATGTGCGATTATGAGTCAACTAGCTATAATCTTACTTTTAACTCTTAAGAAATACACGGGATGACACCTAATATTTTAAAGGAATATATGGTAACTTTAGTGTTATTGCTTGTATAAGCCCGAGTTCGAATCCCGGTGGGAACAACATCACTCTCTGTGAGGCAGATACATCTGGCTGATGAGTCTCAAAAAGGACAAACTGTGCTTCCTGGACTTCACTGCTAGCTAACATTCATCAGTGCTATATGGTATTCTGTATGCTGAGGTTTTGCTGAACTCAACCGTCATTTCAGTAATATAACACGAATAATAAAACCAAAAATAATCGTATGTAATATTGATAAATTTGAAACATGTAGCAGTAACTTTCTCATACTTCTTGTATAAAAAAACAAGAAATACTACAAAGAACCACGGTAACTTCACTGTCAGAAGTGTAGTTAAAACAAATGAATTCAGTCAAGTTTAGTGTGACCATCCTCTGAAATATAGTAGCCAAATCAGACAAAATGAATAATTTTACTCAATATAGTGATGATCTTTATGCCAGCTGCAGATAACAGACTACTTGATGGAAGGTCAAGCAGCTTATTGATGCCGTGAAACCTAGCAAAATCGAAAAAGGTATCTATCAACAAGATCCGTTATCAGCCAATAACAGAAGTGGGAAATATATCATTTCTGACGACAGCGTAAAAGTTTTCCGGATAACTTTTATTCTATCAACTGAAAAAAGCTGAAAAAACAAATAAATATTATTATCGTAGTACAAGGTTTAAGAAAAATAACAAACATTACAAAGGACTGGTATAAAGGATGAACTTGACCAGATTTTTTCCTCTTAGAGACAGTTTGTAGTTATATAAGCCAAATAATCAGACGACAAAAATGCACTTCAACAGCGAAGCCTATCATTCTGCAAATCGAGGCTACCTCCAACCTAACTGAATTTCTTAAGTATTTTACCAATAAGCAACCCGAAAGCATGAGATATTAACGGCAATTCTACCTTACAGAATTCAACTTAAGTAGCATAGCCCTCAGAATGTTTACCGTTGGCACTTACAAACTTGGAAAGTCTTATGTATTTCGGGACAATAGGACAGTTGAAAAACTAGTAAGGTTATGTTAAGGAATGGTTACCTCTTGGAATTTTATCAAAAACCTGAGTGTTATTTATGCTATTATTTGTTCAGCTTCATAAAGAATAACGAGAGAATTAAACTACCCAAATAAATTGGATTCATTTTTCCGGTGTTAAATGACAAATAGACTGGATGTTTCTTGACATTCTATTTATTCGTCTAAATATTTGCCAGTCCCATGGGCCACTTTTTCTCCTGAAATCAGTGCCAATCTATCACTCCATGGGCTTCAGACTTCTTTCATCTACATGGGGAAGAAAAGCAACAGACACATCTATGAGATTTTATTGTTATTAAAATGAGCTCAATTCTCCGCTTAAAGACCTATACTTCCGGAGCCCTGCACATCCTTTCACAGTAATACATATTACATAAGTTCAGAAGGACTAAACTGAAAATACACTCGGTTTCCCGATATGCTGTCAACGCTACATTTGCCTGCGATCAGATCTTATGAGTGAGGTAATAATGAATGACGATTCAGCGGACATAAAAGCTAGTCAACAAACACTAGAAATTCTATAACTTTTTATTCTAGCTAATCTGCAGCATCTGTGGGTGGTCCTTTTATCTAGTAAAACAGACATATACCACCTTCAGTGACTACATGACTACTTTTCTCTATAACAAACTAAAGGATGCATGTGATAGCGCTTTATCAACAAACACTGGTTCGGAATATATAATTTCTGAGTGTCTGATATAGAATACAGTTATCACTACTCATGCAAAGAGAAAAAAGTTCTTGTGTCTGTTACTGACTCTCTTATTAGGACTTGTATTCAAACTAGACAGTAAAATCAATAATGCCCCGATTTTATACATCTGAATTTGCATAAAAACAAAGCTGTAAAGTAGAAGCTTTGGAGTTTTTTGAAACAACTCCAGACTATCACTGAAAAACACATTCCCCTCTCTTATCAATCAAGTGACTGAATAACTTGTGGGGTGACTGCATGTTCACGTTACAATAGGACAGGAAGCAAAGACAAAAGAGGTCACTAATTTGTCAGTCTCAGATATCTTCCTGTAGACATCTGATGCATACTAATACATATATTCTCAAGGCATTTTGCAACCATCAAGAAAGTGATCTAAAAAGATCTTACTTTCTAGATTTAAAACAGGAACAAGGAGCGTATGAAAGTGAATAAGCTCATTTTAAACGAAAAACGTAGTTACGTATACAAGGTCTTTCAGTCAGCAGATTATTCTAGGCGAATTCCGAGATCATAAGATCATAAAATAATTTCACAGAAGTTTAAGAACGAGACACTATCAACTTCATATTTTTGTATAGAGATGAATAATCTTCAGAACAGCACGAACCATGCTAGAGGCATTTAATTTTTAAGCGATACCAAGATTTCAAGCGATAATACCCTGAATCCCACTACCACTGACAATGTTGCACCACAGCTTGTCTAAAAGTAGACATTGAAAACAGCTAAACATTGATTCTTGACTTGAGCAGTAGTTTATAAGGATGGTTATCAGTGCTTAACTTTTCAGTGCAAAGTTCTTCTGAGGTGCGGAATTTTCCAAACTTAAATTAACCTTCATAATTAGCACAAACTGGATAAAATTGTTCGTAATACTCATTGAAGCCCGGAAACAAATTCATCCTTTTATCACTACCCTTACATAAATATTAATATAATCCGGGCGTATTTAGTGGGAAAGAAAATTGGCTTTCATGTTAACGTTATATCATCTTCAGCATTTCACTTACGCTATGTGGTTATATTGTGGAAATGAGTTTTAAAAGAAAGGCAGAGGTAGATCTCAATTTTTTCAAACCAAATCGGTAATCGACAGTCGGGTATTAAATATTTCTGTTGTCGTGCTCCTTTAGTCCTTTTCGGAATAAGATAGTTGAATCACTTAGGCAGCAGTTGGTTTGCTTATTTAAACGTGTTTTGCAAACAGCAGCAGTACAAGGTTTTGGTTTTTAATCAAGGCAAAATTTCCTGCATTACTGATTCATTCATGTGTCACTCGTCATCCAGTTACATAAATATAACCACTTTTAGGAACTGTATTTTTTAGATATAATGAAAGGGTACGACAAAAACTTAAGAAACACTCTGCAAACAATCAGGATGCTGGATTTTACGTTGACCTCCTACTTTAACCGTACAACTGTTCACGTAGTAAACCTCCACTATATTAGAGTAAACAAATAGATATAATTAAATAACTTAAATTCTTCTTCTTTCTGAAGTGAATCCTCAAAAGTGCATCACTGATCAGAGTGTTGTCTGTTTTACAGTGACGTTCTGTATCAAACCGATGCCTAACCTCTAATTTCACCAGTAGCATTGCTTCCTATTTTATACGAAAAGTATGATTTCATCCAGGTTATGAAACCTAGCCACCAACAAATGTTTTTTAAAAATGGCAACTACACGTTTGAAAACATACTGCGCTGATGGAAGGTTTAGTGCGCTATAGGTAACCGAAAAGACTGTACTGTAAATTTCAGGTGATTACGTATCGAATTATACACTTGTATGATTGGTAACTTAGCGATTTTATACGGAAATCTGTTTCTAGGCACACACTTAAGAATATTATTGGAACTATCCATTCAATAATAGATGAAACATTTTCATCATGTAACTTATTGGGTCATAATGTAGAACGATAGAAAGTTAAAATAAATAATCTCATTAGTTGTTCTATAGTTTCAGATTCTTCATTTGCTAGCGTTTTCAATTAACTCTATGGGATAAATCATAACCAAAAGTGAAATAATTTTTTTACTGAGAGTCACAGAAAGTCAATATTTGGTGCAATATTTTAAACTGCTTGGTGTTGATGCATTTGTATGTGCTTGAGCCATGATAGTGACCTGATATAATGAATAAAAAAACAATAAAATGCTTCACTTAGCTTTATACATTTTTGCACCTTACAGATGGCGAAAATTCTTCCAACTGAAGAGAATTTTTTACTTTTATTCCATCGGGATAATCCTTTAGATTCAAGTGTCGAATTTATGCGGGTAAGCAAAACAATTTTAGTCTTATAAATACTGATGAGTTGCACCCATCGTTGTACATTGATCATAAGTAAACTTTACAAAAATTATCATCAGTTTTAAGTCAACCTGCTTTATCTTTTACTACTGTAAAAAAGTATAGAGCAGAAAGTTCACAGGAAATGGTCATGAAATAGTAACTGCTGAAGCAACCAAATTCTGCATGAAAATCAGAATCTGTTGATGAAGTTTACATTTTGGCCTCAAATCTTAGGAACACGAAACCATTAGAAATAGATTCGAATTGTAATTTTCCAATGAAATTTATGTATTTAATGTACTGAATTATCTTCCTAGAACCAGTTTATTCCATCGTGACCTCGTTCTTTTTTAAGTAACATATTTCGAAGCTCTACTAAGTCAGCATATCTCAACTACAAGTCACAGTTCCTTTTTTTAGATTGAAACCACGTTTTTCCACAGACACTCATCTAACTGTTATAGAACTTTTCCTAATTGAATACAAAACTTAATTTTTGGATGAACAATAATGTATGCTGGAAAGTTGATTATTGTGTAGTACATCAAATGAGCAAACTGTAGGTTCACCTGAGTTACCGTTTATTGTATATAAAAGCTATAATTAAAGCAGGTTATGTTTTAGAATGACTAATGAAGTACTAAAACTCTTATCTTTCAAAGGATTGAAATTGATATCTGTACAAAAAACTACCTTACATATGATGTAGAACATTTGGATTGCACGCAGTTTACACAGTTGCCGATTTTGTTTACTTCAGACAATGTTGAGAGTAAGCAAAACGCGAACACACTTGTACGATCGATACTGAAGCAGTCAATGATCTAGCCATCCACGTAAAAATAAATCACCTCTTTTGGACAGAATATATTCAGCAATAAAATTTATCAGTTCGGTTCACTTGCTTTTTGTCAAGAAACTGATCACTTAGAAGTAAGATGAGATTCTGTATTCCAAGTTGTACCTCACTTGTTTTTCAAAGGATGCACTGCATAATGAAATTTCTTTCATCCAGTTGAATACCATTGTAGTTTTATATTATTTTTTGATAGTGGTTAGCAGTGGAATTCAAAACGTGCATTACGTCCTATTGGAGACTAATCAGCTGAATATACCTGCCTCCTAGTGAGCAGTGTTTTTCCCACTAAGACTGGAATCCAGGACCAACTACTTCAAATGCCAGAGAGTTATCTACTAGGCCATTGCGATTTGTTGTTCATTCAGGTAGGCATCTAGAAGTAAGGATATATAAAACAAAACTGAGAGGGTCCCCTCAAAAAAGCATATTTTTGAATAGAAAATGAAATCATTCCTGGCTAAATTCTTTTTTCAAAATAATAAGTGCTAAAGTGATTACTCTTTCTCCAAAAAAGAAAAATATAAAAACAGGTTAGACTAGTTTGATTGCATACACACAAATGCTAATACATACCACATCAGCTGAATAAATTTAGGTTGTCAGTGACGAAAGAATCCTGTAATACTCTTTTCATTGAGAGCAGAATTAAAAGCAATGCTTAACACTAAAATTCTCAATAACTTTTTACATCCGACATCAGAAAAATTGGAGTTAATATTCTGCAAAAGTATAGATTGGAATAAAAGAGTAAGCGTGCCAAGTGTACTTCATTGAGGAAACTTAACTTTATGAATTACAAATACATTAATGCAGACTATTAGTTCGATGTTTGATTCACATATCAAACAGCTGAAAGCTCTCTAAAAAGTCATAATGTTCGCAAGTTTATGAACAAGTGTTGCTTAATGCTTCACGTTAAGGCATAATTATGGAAACTGGAAGCTGCCAAATAAGTGCAAAACTAACCTGTTAGATGCTCTCTTTTCAAGTGGACACATACTTTTTGCTCGTCATTCACTAAATAATGATGATTGTGGTTTATTGCTAAGCTTCTTAAAGGGAGGGTGGACTGCGTAACCAGTTGTCTTACTGAACCAGCCTTACTGTTTGAACAGCAAAAGATACTTAAATAGACTTGCATACACGTATCTCTATTCTAAGCATTTGTTTTGTGGCTTCACCGCTTTGACCCTGTAGTTTAAGAATGAACAGCACCAAATTGAAATTAACGGGTGGAATTCGCCAGTTATCTTGAGGTGAGACCTACTTCTGTTGCCTCTCTTCGGAAAAGGAGACGTTAGTCCCAGCTTTCATTACCTCTTTATTACCCCTGTTCACATTTTAAGGCTATCTGTTATTAGTTTAACATTCTATGTAATGTGAATACGTTATGCTGATTGGTAAACATGGCTGACTGACTACATTTCGCTCTACACTTGTCATCTGGCTGGAGAGATAAACAAAGATATTTCCAAGGATATAGTTAGAGTCTTCAGTCTCTCTTCTCAAGGTGATATTACTGTGAATTTGGAGTTAGACCAACTGACGCTTCGTTTTTTCAAACAATAAAATGTTTGACAAAATTAGTCTCTTTGATAAGTTTAAACTGCGTAGCGAGAAGACAGAGATTATCTGGAACAAGTGATGCATTAGTGCCATACTTATGAACAGTGGGTTCATATATGAAGTCATCGAATAATTTATATAAAAAGCTGACAGAAATTGACCGAGCCAACAGAATTATAATTAAGAAAGATAATAAGAGCAGGGCAAAAACAAGACAAAACTAAGATCACCGCAGCCATTATTATGAAAGGTTGAACTCAGTAATACCGCGGTAGGTTTAGTGTAAGTAGAAATTTATTTTGATCGCCTAAAGGGGGTTTAAATTTATGGATAGCATAGGCTTCTATAAATCTAAGTATTCATCTTTGACTATATTTCTACAATACAGTAAAGGCTGCCTTCATATCAATCTCATGACTATTTTCTAATGTGTGTTTTTCTATAGGCATTGTGTCTAAATCTTTCTTATTAGTTCAGTTTCAATACATAGAACCAACTTCGTGAGAAGAACAAAGATAACACTACTATCTGTAGAATTTCACAATTTGTCCCGTTGCAAATCCTTTTCTGCTGGGGTTCATCGTTGCCAAAATTCTAAAAAGCTCATAAGTTTTCAGGTTGATATTCATCATGAACTGATATCACTCGAAGAATCATTGGAAACCTGAGAACACTGGACAGCTGTTTCGTCTTCCTCAACAATGTGCACTCATGACGGTGCCAAAGGTTTTTGTCATCGTCTAATAACAAACTAGAATATTTAAAATAGTAAATTACACTAAAATATTGGCATACTTCGGCTCAGTGAAATCTGTCAGAACGGGATAACCCCAAAACAAAGTAAGGAAACTATGTGGATTTAAATAAGATCTAAAGGTCAGGCAGTAATGTTATCAGTAGCCTTTGTTTATCGATGTCGCGGCATCATCAAGCCTCACATAAATTACATCCAACTGCTAACGAATACTATAAAAATGGCATGTTTTATTAGTTTAGAGGCATAAAATATTCAGAAGCTGGGTTATGATTTTCTTAATTTGCCAAACCAAAGTTTATTTCTGATTGGAGACGCTGGGTCAAATAGCTACATCCCGATCACTTTATCACAGATTTATTCACTCTTTCACATCTTTTAACACTTGGAAATTTTCATCAACCTTGGTTTTCGAATTCCTATTCTTCTCAGACACCTTTTCCGACTATAATATTATTCTTTCCTCAGCCACTTATTCTCTACGTGCTAACCCCATGCATTTCTGTGCGCGGTTCTGTTGATTCGCCTTTCTGTCTCTGTTCGAAGGGAACCTTCCAGAAATTTGTGAGGCCTGACAATCTTATGAATGTTTTCAATTAAAATGAAAATTACATCGGAAAGCATACAAATGATGAATTGCTTAATTTTATTTGAAAAGACAATGGTCTATCAATAGTTAATTTCTATCCCATAGAGTTTGAGAAACTGTATTGTATATGAAAAGGTCTATTTTCAATACCATTAATGATATAACGTGAACACTTATTGATAATAACTTCGAGGACCGCATAGCTGTGAATTAAATCAGTCCCTCACTTTTTGCAGTGTTGAGGAAAATGTAATCTAACAACAAGCATATAACTTAGTATGACATAAATGAGTAAGGAAAAGACAACAGATGAACAAGTTTCGAATATTGGGTTAGGCAGTCCTACAAAGATTAATTATAAGTCTTAGAGGCAAATATGAAAAGTCTCAAATGGTATGTTGAGGTTCCATTTCTAGTCTGTTTATTAAAAATGTCAAACAATGAAACAGTATCACTTACAAGATAACGTTTTGGACATAATTTACTGTCCACATTCATATCATGGACAATGAGTTGTGTCCGAAACGTTTTCCAACAAGTGATACTGTTTTAGTGTTTGACATTTCTAATAAACAGACTAAATAGGACTATTATTTACCACAGTGTCAAGTTTTACTCTTATATTAATAGATATGATGACATGTTAGCGATTACTGTCATTCCCATGACTTCGGTGACTATCATGTATTGAGTACAGACTGGGGTTATTTTTCCAACTAACAAAATACTATATGCACTAAAATTTTTGGGGCACTTGTCAATCCTTTTAGATGACGCTGACTTATCACTTTATCTACTAAACTGACATCATTCCTAGGAGGCTTTTGTCAACGTTTAATGATGGTGTGTTATCACAAATACCAACCAAGCACTTAATGTCATATGTATGGGAACACAATGTAGGTAATTTTGAAGACTAAATGATGTTGATACATAAATTTTTGTTCGGTCTATAATATAAAGAGGAAATAATCTGCTCCTATAAAAAATATGCTTAATCAGTAAGACATTCTTACGTGAGCTGTGAAACATAAGAAATCTGAAGATGAAAATAAGCAATTCGAAAATTTACAAACAGATAACATTTACAACGGAGCTATTGCATCCAAAAAACGTACGTGACAGCTTAATCTGGTGAAAGTCAGTCAACCCCACAATATACATTGATTTATTTCACACTGCAGTATTCTGTGTATTTATACTGAGAGTGAAACCT